TCATCATAGCTCCATGGCCGGTCCAATACCCCTCCCCCACCCAACCCCATATAATGTTCAGCAGAAATAGGTTATTTTGACGAATTGGACAAAATTATTTTTTTCATTTTTTGTCCGACCGGCCCTTCGAGCGATCGCCCGATGGCGCGATGGCCCAATCCGCCCCTGATTTCAGACTTACATCCTTGTGTAAGGGGAAACCCGTTTTAATTCTGGTTTCGGGTTCTTGATTTGATGTCAACACCAATGTATGTAAACAATAACCCATGTTATTCATATTCTAAAATATTTTTATAATTTACTAAACGCCCCCAAATTTCTTTTATAAGAGTACCTCTACCCGCGATAAGATCTCTACATTCATCTGTGTTTATAAGAATACCACCGCCCGCGATAAGATCTCCACATTCACCCGTGTATATTGGTGTATTAAAACATATATGTAAAACTTTTTATTTCATGTTAAATGAGACATTCCTATCACATCAGGACATCTTTCAGCCCCTCTATGCTTTTATAATCCATCCATTAAGAACTCCAGTTAAACCCTATTTTGTGAACTCGAGTAGGCGTCTTTGTCCGACTCGTCATAGACAGTATTAAAGCGCTGCGTCACCGAAGTTTATAAAAGCGTTTTAAATGACCAAATGTGATAAAATTAGGGCGGGTATTAGGTTCAGTTCCTTTAGACATTAAAGCTGAAACAACTTTCACCTTTTCGACTTTAAATAGTCAGAATTCTACATAGAAATAATTTTATTTCCTACGGTCAACTTTTGACTGTTGCCAGGCAAATTGCAGAATATGTCCAGAACTCATATATATATATATATATATATATATATATATATATATATATATTGCCGCGTGCACTCAACACTCCGATAAGTGGTACATAATGGTGGACAAGTTTGGAATCTTTACCCTTCACCCAAAACACCCCTCACCCTCCACCCTCTACGAACATTTTTCCTTTTTTTTTTCCAATTACTTTTCCATTATTTTTGTTTATAAAATATATATTACCACTTATTTGTGGTGCACGCCTGGTGTCTGGTTACAGCGGTCCCCTGTCGCTTTACAGACATAAGGTCGTATTACTTGGAACGTTCTTTTTCACACGTGATCCGCTACTCTGTACCAATTATATCCAAGTTTATTTATGGTCTGAGGGATAAAGATAATAACAAAACTTTATATAAAAAGGTCGAGCCTTGGATAATAAATAAATATATTATAACTCGTCATATGACACCAGTTGAATGTCGAATGCTGCATCTTAAGTAAACACTGTTAAAAAGACGTTTTGTGTATATATCATGGGCTAAATTTTTAAAACCATTCAAAAACTAAATAGGATGGAGATATGATAAATATGACAGCGTTCGTACCTCTTGCCAGAACAGAAATATTTGCACGTAGTTTTAAGTATGTTGTCACTTTGCGATCGACATATGCAACAAAAGGCTTTGGAGAGGTCGAATACACTACAGTTTATGCAAATATGGGCTTGAGAATTTTTATTCTTCGAACAAATTTCTCTTTAAATTTTCTACTACCATTGTAAATAACACACCTTGCTTATAAAACGCTCAAAAATTGATTCAAATTGCTAGTAAAAAATGAAAGCGCCCGAGGTTTGTTTATTTAGCATGTGAGTAGGAATATAATACCCGTGTCGACATTACAAATTTATACTTTAAGAAACTTGTTAACGATATTTAAGGTATTAATAAATCATGTTTTTAATGTTAATTTTGGGTTATTTCTCTGTTTTCTTGTCCACTAAAGTCCTTAATATTATTAGACCCTTATAAGGTTCTTAATTCTCGCCTAAAATGGCTAGAACAGTTAGGACAGTAGAGATATTTTCGAGTGTTGGATTTAAGGTAATTTGTTTAAAATCTGAAGTAGGCTTGAGATTGGAGTAACATCTTTATATATGGTGACATGTATAAAAAACAGAAATAGTTTCTAGTGTTGAATTAAGATTCGTGTAAAATGTATGACTCAGCATTCAAACCTTTAATTAGGACGTTGAATTTTTGTTTTAGAATAATATAAAATGACTAGGGATCTATACGTACATTTTAGGGATCTTTACGTACACTATGAGTTGTTCCATAATGCCGATCTACCAGCAATAGTCTGGTGATTTGGAGTACTTTTCCTCAAGACAAGTATACCAGTGTGTGGGATCTCAAAATAATCCAGAAATCTCGTACGTGATAATGATGATTGAGTCCCGGAATCTCGGAATAATAATGTCAGAATCCCGGAATCTCGGGATAATGATGTCAGAACACGAGAATGTCTGAATAGTGATGTCAGGGTCAAGATAATCATTTCTAATATCTGTACGAGACATGACTAGACTAGTAGACAAGTGATACTGTGTCATTAATAGAGGTCAACTGACCACCTGTATATAAACTACAAGTGACCAGTGAAATCAAACAAACTCCCTACATATACAATATAACAAATCTTTTATTTACAGGACAATGACCAGATGAAAACCAAACATGACCTACGGATTGAAAGGGGTATATGTATATATATTTAACATACAGATTGGATGGTGTTATATTATTAGGGGTTTTTATTTATCTATTTCATTATTTTGTTTCGTTGTAATTTTTTTAACATACCATTGTATCAACTAAACAAAACATAATGATTTCCTTAAGACATTACCCTCATTCATGACCCCCTGCTCACATCCAACCACTCGCCTCCCTACTCATTCAACTATCCCCTCCTCCCTTGATCCCTACTCATCCAACCAACCCTATCCCCCCCCCCACCTCAATTCTCCCTTAATCGGTCACGTTACATTTAAGATTCATTGCTTTAATGTAAATGTAATTGAGTAGACTCACAATGATAAATTGTTCCGTAATAAATTAAATAAAAACCCAGGTGATTGGGTGATAATCTTGTATAAGATAAATATCTCTAATAATAAATAACCCATTTTAACGAAATAATTTTCACAAGTTTAAAAATGAGAAGAACGGGGCAGTATAAAGGTGTCAAAATTGTTTTTCATTTCAATTCACAACAAGTTTTTAAATATATTTACTACACGTATACACGTCTTCGCCCGTTAGATAACACATTAGTCTGTGATATAATATTAATCAATCGTTTCCAAATATGCTATCGAACACACGTAATTTAATAAATAAAACGTTGAAGCTAATATCATTGAACCATTGAGTAGACCATGGTCACAAGTAAATCATTCCATGGTCACGAGGTATAAACCAACTGGTAGTCCGCTACCAGGACCAAGTTAGTCTTCTAGTTCTTGTCTGTTATCTTAAAGCGATAATTTCATATTTTTAAGTTATATTTTTAAAATGTATTAAATTAAAGCCTTAAAATAGATGGTATCTGTAAACAGTCCTACCTTGTTAAAGAATAATCCTATTAATCCTATAATTCACGATTGCCAGTTGAGAAATTGGCAAAAATATCATTTTTAACTTCAAATTCAAACGTTTGAAGATAGCTATTCCATGGGGGGGGGGGGGTAGAAAAACAAGGGAGGTAATTGTGTTATTATTTCCGGGGTAAATGATTTTTAAGTGTGAGAAAGATAACCTATGATCGTATAATAGTGAGTTGACAACCTATTGAGCAAAAGACATAGAAATAATTATGTTTTGACTTTCTTAGAAAATGTGAAATTCTCGCTTTAAAGTAGTGGGGGTGGCGGTGGTGGACTATGGTGGGGGGGGGTCTAGGGGTGTAACGCGCGCGCGTTGCATCATAAGGTCTTTTACTGAGTCAAGTGGCGTGGCTTCGATTTCCAGCTTGTACGTGACAACCTCGTGGGTTTTCTCTGGGTCCTCTGATTTCCTCTGACTGCTAAAGACACCTACGCGCAAGCGAATTATTGAAATAAAATTGAACCATATGTTTGTCTCGAAATGACCTTTGTGCCAAGTGGACGTTAAATCCCTCTCTCTCTCTCTCTCTCTCTCTCTCTCTCTCTTTCTCTTTTATATCAACATGGTGGAAGCAGACGTTAAACCTCATCTGCAAAATGGTGGAACTAATCGTTACTGATATTTCATCTCACGTGACCAATAAGTGGCAAACACAGAGTCAAATAACTATACATGTATATGTATATTATTTGTAATTGAATATATTATTAAATCTGATATGATTATATCCCAATTATTAAAAATCCTTCAAATTATATAGAATGTATATTTATAATTTATTTTATCTGATATGACAGTCTTAATTATAATATAACAATTAACATATTACCCTTTAATAGAATGAGAAACATTTGCTCCTAAAATATCAACCTTTTTACAAACAGGTAATAATAAACCGCTTATAATAATATAAATTCTTACCTATAATCCACGAAGTACAATTGGGGACCCCAGAGAGGATCAATTCTTATATAAACTAAGAAATAACACAATTACTGGCTATAACTTCAATAAAGAATAAAATGCAATTCGATTGAAAGGCCAAACGGGTTTAAAGGGTTAGATAAAGGTGGAAATAATTTTGGTTGTTGGCTTTATAAATTCCTTTTGGATAATAATTATAATAGTATGTGGTCCGACTCCAATCGTCGTAATAAAACTAAGCACCTAATAACAACATAATCAATCAGTAACACACCACAAGAACTTAAATCAATCGATCAATCATTTATATGAATTCTAATCTTTAAGTGGCATTTAGCGATTGGGAAACACATTAACAGAATACAGTTTTTATGGGAAACAATCACTGGTTTATTATACACAAGCACGACGTTTCGACAAGTATCCTCTTATCGTTATCAAGCACACGTCGTGCTTTTAGAATAAACCAGTGATTGTTTCCCATAAAAACTGTATTCTGTTAATATATGAATTCTCCCATCAAAATTTGAGACTAACATGCAAATACACTGTAGTTTTCGTATCAATAATAAGGACTTTTTGCCGAACCTAAAAAATATTTAATTAATTAACCCTTACCCTGTGTTAATCGTCTGCTCCGTTTCGCTGTCTTCTGTTAAAAGATATCCCCCGTCCAATTTTAACTTCTCACTTCCCCTCGAGCTTTTGGAACTCATGGAACTGTTGTTTGAATTCTGACCAAGAACGTAATTTTCCGTGTTTTCATTTTTGAAAGTAATTTCATTAAAGTTTTCATAATTTGATGAATTAGAACCATTTACATGTACGCCATTTTCGTTTAATATTCCATTATTATCAGCACTCCAGTCCGCCATATTGTTCGTCTGCTTCTGGACTCAAAGCACTAGAAAAATACAGACATAAAAATGAATGAGAGCGACGACTGTTATAAGTGACGGGTTTATTGAGTATAGAGTCGAGACTGTGATCACCACATGTACACATTAACCCCCACCGTTTAATATATTCACTATATCTTATCATGCATGCCTGTATTTCATATCCTGATTGGTTGGGTTTTTAGTTTTCTCGGTGACACAAACCGGTTTGACGGGTTTTGACAAGTAGTGACACTTTATTTATCATCCACGCTGACTGAAGTTTATCCATATTTAATATCACATGCAATCCATACTACTACAGATTATAACAAAAAAACATATATACTCAGTTATTACATAATATAATTCGATAGATTATTGTTACATTCTCTGATAGCCATGTCATTAATAACCAATTAAACGTCATTTTTTTTTAAAATAAAGCTTGACCGTCTAACATCTTATATTAATAAACATTTAAAGACACACCTACCTTTTAAAAATGTTAGAGAAAATGAAAAGTGATGAGGTCACTCCTTATTCTAAGAAAACCTCATTAAATAATAAATAGAGAATCTCATATCTTTTTTATATTTAAAAATATCAACACAAGTCGATAATATAAAAAAAGAACGAGGCTTTGCCGAGTTTCTTTTTTTTACTTTATCGACGATTGTTGATATTTTTTGATATCAAAAAAGACGAGTGGGCGATTTTATTTATCACTCAACCCTTTCTTTTTTGGGAATAAATTAAATTCATATGTAAAGTGATATCTACACATGAAAGTTATCACACAAACGATATCTACTGTAGAATGTGTTAATGGGTGATAATACAAAATGACAGTTGTTTTAACTAGTGGTTTACGGCTCAGAAATAGAACCGTTGCCGAATAGATTCACTACAGCGGGAAGGGAATTCAAAACAATAATGGGAACGGGGGATTTGCTGTGTCTTCAGTTTTCGTTGGTGGTGCGGGATTTTAGAAATAATTTCTGAATATTTTCGAAAAATGAAGCAAATCCGTGAATTGCAACACTCATTTCAACAAGTATCGACTGTGATTAGCTTAGGAGGATGAGGGTGTGTGTGCCGGGGGGGGGGGGGTCAAAGGGAACCCTGATACCCCCTTCCCTTACCCAAAGAGAGAGAGACATGGGGTTTAACGTCCACTCGACACAAAGTAGGTCATTTCGGGACTAACATATGGTTCAATTTTATTTCAATAATTCGCTTGCGTGTAGGGATCTTTAGCAGTGGGAAACCGGAGGACCCGGAGAAACTTACGAGGTTGGACAGACGACCCAACTTCTTGTCACGTACAACCGGGGAATCGAAACCACGTCAGATGACTCAATGAGAGACCTTATGATACAACGCGCACGTGCTAACCATTCGGCAATCCATCCCAAAGGGCCTGCTCAGAATACCTAACACAACTCAACATCAAAAAAGTACATGTATATCGCTTGATCAATTAAAAATGTGTTGATTGTTTACATGAGTTGTCTATATTGGAATGTTAAGGTGTGGTCCGTTGGTTTAACGTGCTAATTACTGTCGTGTAGAGTTCTACTATATTGATTAGATTATATTGTTTTGTGTAGGCCTATAACATGTCACGGTTGAATGATTAGTTATCGTAAAGGTATTGATTATCCAATCCATGTCCGTCATTTAATAAACAATAAAACACGCCCATTGATTGATCGATCACTTTAATTGATGGCCATATCGTAGAAAATCTGAGAGAGAAAAAAAATAAATTAACCAGTTTCAAATTTGTCGGAGAAGACGACCTGGAAATCGTCTGGGACAAACGGGAAAACCAACCAGGGGATGAGAGATCCTAGAGGAAGAACGGTGAGGAGGTGGACTGTATCACAGCCGGTCCAAAATCCGCCTTTCAACGAATAACAACTAACGTGGGATGACGTAAAGCACTGCTGGACCAAAATTCGCCCCCCCCCCATATCTACTATTCTGTTCTAGAAATTGTAACAACCGCCAAAACGGACAATCCAAACGCCGTCTGCTCTTAGATTACACGTTACGGTACCTGAACTTTAAAAATAGACCACGCCCATTTATAATTAATATACTATTATACAGTTGTCAAAGTTTGAGTTTCATGTTAAAGGCCCACCTGTTGCTTTAAGATACTTCTGTAAATAGAATGAAACGGGGTTTAAAGTCTTAGTTCTCGGCATCAACCCGACTAATCACGACGAGCATTCTCCAATGCAGTGGGATTTCAATCTTCTGGGCTTCCTTTACGTACACACCTTCCAGGGTTCCCGTCCTGCACCACTGACAAGGGAAACTAGTCGCGATGAATTCCTGGGCCACATCGGGACCGAACCCATGACCTCCTAGTTAGTGGACAGTGCTATACTCACCGAATCACCGTGTCTTATGGGAGATGGCAGGTAGAACCACAGGTATAAAAGTATTTAAATCTGCAAAAAAAAATGTCGTATTGTATTAAAAATAAGCCCTAAAACCGTATCTGAACGCTGTAGCTTAAAATATGCAACCATTAGGAGGAAGTGACGCCAAACCTGTTTAAAGCTACGTTCCCAAACAAGTATTTATCGGGTGGTTATTTCCAATACAATATGGCAATTTTGGTATATAGGGAAAGTAGAAATATCCCATCTTACTAGTAAAATACCGGATTCACTGTATGGAGCGCATACAGGACAAAAATGTAAGGATTTCCCTAGTCGACAGCCCGACGATTAGGAGTGTCTGCACGCGTGACGTCGAAGGTTGCACGCGGAGATTGAGCGCTTGATGTACATTTTGATAAACTTTATGAAGAATTAGACGTACAACACTTTCTGAGATAAAAATCACGGAAAAAGACGCGGGCAGTGGATAATCCGAAAATTTAATTAGGCCTCGATATTTGTAATAAATAGTCAGCGATTGAAGACAACATCGTCTTGTGTTTGCAGTGAATTTTCCCCCGACTGCGCTTGCGTTGCTAGGTACCGAGAGAGGTAAGTCACGTGACACAAACATGACCTCTTTTGATCGATTTTTTATAGCCAGGGTATTCCCCGACAATTGCGATGTTTTGAGAAGGATTTGAAGCAAAATTATGATAAATTAATTAGTTTGAATATGTTTTTAGTCCAATATATCATCAAATCCCGGTTTATTCCCGGAAATGTATCTTTAAGTAACTGTAATATAAAATTGCTTAAATTGCCGTCGTGTGGTGAACGTCTTGATGAACTAGACTACCACACAGTCGTAAGCTGATAGACATGATTATCCAGACATTACATCAGCCGTCACAAGTAGCTTGTTCAGAAAAGTACACAACTGTCACTGGTAGCGTGTTGCGAAAAGTACACAACATAGTATATGTTGTAGGGGGTCAAATATGAAGTAAATAACCACACCAAGGGTTCAGTAAAACAGCAATTTATTACCTTATAATAAAAACCCTGAAATTATACAATTACAGTATAAATAACCGTGGTCAAGATATAAGTCAGAGGATTGTTGTCTGTGTACACCGTGAAGGTGTTATTGAACAGGTACTGATGAAAGTTCTCTGTCACTGCCCACTTTAAAGCAAGAAACTCCAACTTATGCGCAGGATAATTCTTTTCTGATCTTGACAGACTTTTACTGGCGTAGGCAATCACTTTCTCCATGCCATCCTTCTTCTAGTAAAGTATAGCACCTAAACCATGTCCACTAGCGTCAGTGTGAAGAATAAATGGTTGAGAAAAATCTGCATATGCCAGGACTGGTGGTTCCACAAGAGATCTTTTAAGTTGGTCAAATGCTTGTTGTTGTTCTTCTCCCCATTTCCATTTATTGTTCTCTTTGTCCTGAGCTGCTCTCCCCCTCTTCTTTTTAGTTGGACCTCCAACTAGCAATTCGTTAAGTGGTTTTGCTGTCTTGGAAAAATCCTTAATGAACCTCCTGTAGTATCCTACAAAGCCGAGGAAACGTCTCAGTTCATCTGTATTGGTGGGAGTTGGCCAAGAAGTTACCTTGTCTGTCTTCTTCGGGTCAGTACATACACCCTCTGCTGAAACGATGTGACCTAAATACCTTACCTTTTCTTTGAAAAACTCACATTTCTTGGGTGATAGCTTGATTCCATGTTCCGCTAGTTTACCAAATACTTGGGATAACCTCTCGATGTGTTCTTCATAGGTCTTGCTGAAGATGATTAAATCGTCTATGAAAATGGCACAGATCTTCCAATTCAGGTCTCCTAGGCAATCTTGCATAAGTCGTTGGTAAGATGCTGGCGCATTGGTAAGCCCAAAAGGAAGTCTTTTGTACTCATAAAATCCTAATGGTCCCACAGTGAAAGCTGTCTTTGGTATATCTTCTTCCTCTATGCTGACTTGGTGGTAACCAGACTTCATGTCAACTACAGAGAAATACTGCGATCCAACTAAGTTATCCAACATCTCCTCTATGCGCGGTAATGCATAGGCATCACGAACGGTCTTCTTGTTCAGCATCCGGTAGTCTACACACATACGAAGCGATGAGTCTTTCTTCCGGGCTAAAACTATAGGTGACGCATAAGGACTGCAACTTTGTCTTATAATACCAGCTTCCATCAAGTCCTGGAGATGATCTTTAACCTCTTCATACATTGCAGGTGGTATTCGCCAGTAAGATTGATCTTATGTTTCACGAAACTGATGCTACCAATGTCGTTGTCTCCTTGAGAAAATATGTCTGACCAAACAAGAAGATAGTTCTTGAAAGACTTGAGCTGTTCTTCAGTTAAGGCTGATGATGAAAGATCGATGTTATCAAGAAATGTACCAGTACTAGATGTTTCATTGGTAGATGTGGTTGGTAAAATACTGTTAACCGATGCCTTTCTCACCAAGTCAACTATCTGTAACTCACAGAGGATGGTATGAGGATAAATCCTAACTGGTGTCAATGACAGATTGGATAACTGCACAACCACTTCTTTCCCCTCTTCATCAGGATACACCTCTAAAACTGTAGGTGTCACTTCTACTGAAGATGGTATCAGCGAATCAGGTGACCGCTGAAAAAACAAGCGTTGACGACGAGTTATATTCAGGCTGTCAATCTTTCCAATTAGGCAGATGGATCGGTTGCTGCTCAGCACAATTGATGAATCCTCTGTACATTTGACTATTCCTGCACTGTTCTTGTGTTCTTTCTCTTGTACCTGCATACACCTGAATGTCATTGTCCAAATATCTGGTAAATCAGATTGTTGCAGAAAATTATGACCCTCAGCTAGCAGTTGGTTTAGCATAGGCTTCAAAACGTTGGTTCCTACTAGAGCTGGTGTATTGCTGTGGAATGTCGTATCAGGAACAACAAGAAACAAACAATCGATGGTCTTTGACTTTAAACTAGGTATCTGTATTGCTACAGAAACGCATCCTAAATATGGCAAGGTATGTCCTCCTGCACCTTCTATCACTATCAGCTGCTCAAGTGGCGTTAAAAAACAATCCTCTGACTTAAGGTGTTTCTCAAAAAATGACAGGTTTCAACTGTTGTAGTCCCTTATCGGGCTCCAAATGTTGTAGGGGGTCAAATATGAAGTAAATAACCACACCAAGGGTTCAGTAAAACAGCAATTTATTACCTTATAATAAAAACCCTGAAATTATACAATTACAGTATAAATAACATAATCCAACATATAAAATCAATTCATTCATATTCATTAAAATAATATATTACATATTAACACTAAAATCTCTATTCTAACTACTACTTTTATATATACTTAGTCTATATAAATACTTTAAAGGGAAACTACCTCCTGTTAACCCGTATGAAATATACAGGCATAATCTAAATAATCTTACTAATAATAATAATGTTCTTACCCATGAAGGGGTTTTTAATAAAGTAACCAGAGTCTGGAACAAGGTGAAGTACCTTATAGCTCTGTCTGTAATAAAATATGGGGTATTTGATATTAATTATATTATTAAAGCGATATGCTTTAAATAGGGTTACTATTATTACTATTATAAACTGTATGCCTTGTATTTGCAGAATGTAATTAACAAAAACCAACATGTCCGCCAACTTTAACAAAGACAAATAAAATATATATAAACTTATAAAACTGATAAAACAAATAGCCACACATACCTTTAAACTGTAAACAATAAATCTGTAGATAATAATTCTTCCAATACCAAATACACACAATTGATACGAATAAATGAAACTATTATTATAACTATTGAAACTTTAAATATAAAATCACTACCAAGGTTGAATGAAATATTCAACCTCACACTACAAGATTCTATAAGTAAGTGACCAAGGAGATAGGAAATACAAATCCAAGAAACCTTTGGGTCAAAGGTGAAAATTGAATCCCAGTGACCAGATGATGAACTCGAACTCACTGGTTAGAAGAGTGTACAGAACAGGATAGTTTAAAGATGCATTGATGTGTGACATATTACTTAAAATTACATTAGTATTGTGATCATATTAAAATACCCATAAACTAAATAAAATCACTCTACCACATATACTTGCCTGTAACGTTTTCAAGAGTTAATTAACACAGAATTAACCAGTTTATTCACTAAAATATATCTACAGCTCCCAGTAGGTAGTCGTTTACAATGGAGAACAGAATTTATAAAAAGATGTTCGTGGAAAGGGTAAATACGTCAAGCTATATCTTGGGCGTTATTTAACAAACTTGTATATATTTACTATGCGTGCTATATATTCGTCTCGTGTGTAATTATCAGGATATTCATATAGAGAATGAAATCTTGTTCATATAGACTGACTTGAATGGAGAAGGATTATACCTCGACATGAGATATTTATTACAGAACGGTTATAGTAACCGAACACAACGGGGTTTGCTGACCTAACAGTCTAGCGATTGCGCTTTTATAAAGTTTGTTCACTATGTGTACGTCATGAGTACGATTATAAAGAGTAGGTTCGACCGCCTAACTTCATGGATTTTCTCCTGGTATTCTAGTTTCCTCCTACTTCTAAAGACAACTGAACGGAAGCGATTGCAAAAATGCAGCGTCTTGGAATTGTATAGCCTCGTTTCTCTTGGTTATTGGTGTAGTAGGGACGACCTGCAAAGACAAAAACCCGCAGATGGTCCGTGGGGCGTAAAATATTGGGTATGCAAATTGGTAGTGCACGTTAAAGATCCATGGCAGTTAGAATTAGAATAGGAATACGCTGTAGCGCCTCATGGCACATTGTATATGTGGCTTGGTTGTCTTTATTGGTCCATATGGTGCAGTAAAGAAAGGGGATAAACCTCATTTTGTTTCATTTTGTAATACAGAGTTTAAAGCACGTATACGCCCTTTTCTGATAATAGACACCTAATGGATCCTTTATACTGAGCAAGACCACGACAACGAACACGAACGCAACCACTGAGACTGATCAATGTGACTTGTGCATTGATAATTTTACCGCATGTATTCCTTTTGACCTCGCACTCTGAATGGTTATTTAAAATCGTTCAAGCGAACTGTTCCCAAAACTTTAATCCGCGGTTTTCTGCGGTTAGTATAAACGACTTGATTTAAGCAGTACATGTAGTTAAGTAATAAATGCGAACGCGACCACGAAATGCGATCTCTGCGATAAACGGCCCTTGAGAGTTTGCACTCCATCCTAGAATGTTCTATGTCGAGTTGTTCCTTCTGTTAGGTGTAGTATCGACGAAATAACCTTACTGTTCTAGTAAACAATAGATAAACTAGGTTCTACCTGATAACACGACTTATTTACTAAATAATCTGGAATTTTGTCAAAAATATTCTATACCCGTGTTGAACCATTTCTATATCTCTGTTCTATAACAGTCCTCGCTTGTCGTGACAAGGAGTAGGGTAAACCAGTCCAACCTCGTTGGACCACCGGTTTCCCCCAACTGCGAAAGACTCCTACGCACAAGCGAATTATTGAAATTTTAGTCACCAGGGTAAGATCTTTGTACGACAGTGATAGCCCCATGTTTACCACGGTAAGATTGTTATAGGACAGTTATAGCCCCATGGTTACCACGGCAAGATCGGTATACGGCGGTGATAGCCCCATTTACAGCGACTGTAAGGACCCAGTTCAGGAAAAGCCACAGTTAACGCTTCGATAGTGTGTCTTGCAATGTATGTCCACATATTGTCTTAACAATATATAGATATAATGACCTATTGGAATCCACAAATTTATAATTGTAACAAAAGGTAGTAAAGATGACAGCTATATTAGAATCAACGTTTAAAGGCAAACTTTCATTATCTATCTTTTGTTATAAATTAAAAACATATGGACCATCTGGAGCACAGTCACACGTGTTTAATGAAAGACATTTTAGATCATGTAATTTATTTTAATAACTGGAAATTTGAAGACAGAAATAAAATTGTTCGTTTAGTCATTTAAAGCATGACGTATTTGTTTATGTTAGCATGACGTATGGGTTATAATACATATGTGTCCAATCATGTACATCTTCACCAAGAATATAATGCCAAGTTCAAACAACGTCTCGAGACAAGATTCAAACCTGTAGGACACGACTGATTGATCATTTAAACTAAAGTTTTTGCAACAATTTCGTGCACGAGCTTTTGAGGGAGTGTGTCTATTCTTCCTGTTCAATCAAATTAATCTATCCCGAAACACAGCAACATGACAGCCCGTCTTTTAATCGGGGCCTTCCCTAAAACTCTGGACAGTGATTTAAGGTATTAAAAACGGTGAAAGTGTTGTTCGTCTTAAAACAATATTGTTTATATTATATCCGTGTTGACAGTTGATAGCCTTGTTTGTCATACAATCAGTTTTTCCGCAATATTTTGCTATGCACTGGTTAATTGGGCATAATAAAAGCGTGAGTCATGACTTCTGGGAAGTATGACGTAGATGGGTCGCTGCGTGCAGTATGACATATTTGGTCCAATTTGGAGCTCTGTTTGGTATTGTTAAGCAGTTAGCTATTGGTTGTTTATCGGACTATTGACCAGTCATAATTTAGAACAAGAATTTGCTTTCTTTATAGCAGTGAGTAGTGGGATTAGCTCTAATCAAACGAAACACTGCGAGGAGTATGGGTCAGAATGTGCTTCTATAAGTTTGATATCCCTGGAACCCCGGGGAAATTAGGCTGGAAAATCCACCGGAACTTTTTCGGTCAGGGTATTAGATTAAATTCTGGACACCACGTTAAAAGTGGATCAGGATATATATCGAACTCTGGACATGACGTTATGTGGATCAGGATATAGGACCGAACTCTGGACATGACGTTATGTGGATCAGGATATAGGACCGAACTCTGGACATGACGTTATGTGGATCAGGATATATCGAACTCTGGACATGACGTTATGTGGATCAGGATATAGGACCGAACTCTGGACATGACGTTATGTGGATCAGGATATATCGAACTCTGGACATGACGTTATGTGGATCAGGATATATCGAACTCTGGACACCATGTTAAGCTGATCAACCTCATGCAGACACATCGAGCCATCTTTAAAAAGGAGTCTGTGAGAAGAAGAAATGTGATAACTTGACAAAATGTGTTTTGTGATGGTTAAATAAAATTAATATGAAAAACCACACCAACAGCCCCTCCTATAATGATGTTAGCAGATATTGTTTATATTACCTACTGTGTTTTAATTTATAGCTGTTTATATTGTTTACATTACTCCATGTGTAACAATTGAACCATCTATAAATACAACCAACTTTCAATCTATTCATCAGGATTAAATAGGCTATTACAATATTACATAAATATGAACTAAAACGAGGTTTAATATTTCTGGGCTAAGAGAGGAATACGCCCACTCTTCTCCGAATTATAACTGTCAAAGGTTATTTTACGTGGATGCTAATGTGTGCCCGGGATCGCGGTTTTTCGTCCACCCGAACGTTTTGCAGCTGTTCGTTGCCCAACAGATATATGAACGGATATACTCCATACCATACAATACAATACGGGATCACGTGGCTAAGTGGGTAAGACGCTGGCTCGCTAGTCTGAAGGTCAGGTGTTCGATCCCTGTATTGGCCGAGAAAGTTCATTCAGATTTTCCGGCGTGGGTTCCCTTTGTCAGTGATGCAGGATGGAGGGCCTGGCAAGGACAGCTGTCTAGTCGTTCGGATGGGACGAAAAACCGAGGTCCCGTCTACACATTGGCGTGCACGTAAAAGATCCCTTGGCAGTTGGAATTCGATATAAGAGTAGGCCGTAGCGCCGCTGCCCGGGCAAAATTTCCCTCATAGCACACTGTATGGCGTATGTCCGTCTTCATTAGCCCAGGTTAGGAGCAGAACAGTAGGACGTTAAACTCCATTTCATTTCATTTCACTCCATATCCTACAGATATATGAACGGTTATAATACAATATATACTCGATATCCTACAGATATATGAACGGATGTAATACAATATATACTCGATACCATAAAGATATATGAACGGATGTAATACAATATATAGGGTGTAATGTAATATATACTCGATACCATATAGACATATGAACGGATGTAATACAATATATACTCCATATCATATAATATAATATATACTCCATATCCTGCAGATATATGAACGGTTATAATATAATACATACTCGATACCCTACAGATAATTGTTGGAATATAGATTTAGTATGAACTATAAGTGTTTGAGAGAAAATATGATGGTTCGTGACCAGATTGCAATATTTCACCCAATACGTTAGGTGTACGTGACCAGATAACAATATTTCACCTAATAGGTTAGGTCTACATGATAATATCTCTCTACAGTTTAATATTCTACATTGTACTTGGTTTCACCAACAAATGTACAACCGTGTCAGGATGTTAGGGTTGTGGTTTATTAATTGTTATATGAGGAGCAGGAAAGGTTTGGCTAACTCTATGTGTATAATGTGTTATTGATCTTTTAACTGTGTTTTGGAAAGGATGGAGGATTTTTACCCTTTATCTAACCTTCGTGAAATAATTTTAACACTCGAGGAGTCGTATGAAGTGTTCTAGAAATAATAAACATACTCTGCATAGTGCATTAAACACTACAGTAGAAATAATCCGGATAGATATATACCCCCTTTTAAACAATTGTATCGGGGTTTTCTGATTAGTGTGATAGATCTATATGTGTTTTTGACTGTAGTATACCGTCTTTAAAATTTCATTTTAAATAAACAACGCAGAACGAACAGGGAAAATAAACAAGTAAAGAAGAAAAAGAATTACGAAATCGAGACAAACCTGATATATGTGTGGATGAATAGCCAGATATTATAAATGTGAACAAACTGTTATATTTAAGAAAGGGCTGATATATCTACAGTCCGGAGAATGATACGAGTAGCGCTGCTTATTACGTGAGTTGAAAGAGATAACCAGTACTACAACGAATTAAGGTAAAAGGTTTATGCCTTAAAAGGGATGTCACGAAGTCTTAAATAACAAATAAGGTAGGGAGTTAAATAACAAATAAGGTAAGGAGTTAAATAACAAATAAGGCAAGGAGTTAAATAACAAATAAGGTAATGGGTTAAATAACAAATAAGGTAAATAGTTAAATAACAAATACGGCAAGGAGTTAAATAACAAATACGGCAAGGAGTTAAATAACAAATAAGGTAATGGGTTAAATAACAAATAAGGTTAAGTAGTTAAATAACAAATACGGCAAGGAGTTAAATAACAAATACGGTAAGGAGTTAAATAACAAATACGGTAAGGAGTTAAATAACAAATACGGTAAGGAGTTAAATAACAAATACGGCAAGGTGTTGAATAACAAATAAGGTAAGGTGTTGAATAACAAATAAGGTAAGGTGTTGAATAACAAATAAGGTGTCTTAAGAGTCTACGTGTTAGTCCCAAAAGCCCATTTCTCTCTGGGTGGACGAATGGTTAATGTGCGCGCGTTGTATAAGACGGTCTGTCACTGAATCAAATGGCGTGGTTTCGATTCCCCGTTTGTACGTTACAAGAAGTAGGGTCGCCTGTCCAACCTCGTGGGTTTTCTCTGGATCCTTCGGTTTCCACCCACTGCTAAAGACCCCTATGCACAAGTGAATTATTGAAATAAAAATAAACCATATGTTAGTCCCGAATTATTGAAATAAAATTAAACCATATTTTAGTCCCGAAATGAACTAGTCTGTGTCGAGTGGACGTTAACTCTCTCTCTCTCTCTCTCTCTCTCTCTCTGTCTCTCTGATGTATGATTGTGCAAGCCATGCATGTATATATGTTTCAGTGTTTATTTTATATTTTGTTTTAGTTTTAACCGACCAGCTGTAAACCATTAACTGGTGTGGAGGAAATCTACGTCTTCATTAATCCTTTATAGTAACGGAACCAAAAGGAAGTTTAAAACTCAATTCCTGAAAATTGCTAACATGTTTTCAACTATAGAAATTAATGAGTGTTGTACACTGTTAGTTGAGGTATTGTAGGAATAATGGTGCAATACTTCATGGTTTAAATGTCATATCACTCTTGTTTGAGGACTTTCTGGACAATGATTTAAGAAATAATCCACATTGTAATGGTCTTTATTTTAAACGATGTAATATTTAAGAAACATCAGGATTTTTTTTATGTAGTGCTGACTATTTTCGTGAAGCCATTTCAACTTTATTTCCCTCTATTTTTATCCTACTGAAGATTTGATCGAAACCATTCTCCACGGAACAATTGTTTAGTTTATTTTGAAATGGAGAAGATAACTTTGTTATTTATTTTGGTGTTTTTCTCCCGGATTGGCGATTTTGTAGAAACAGCAACATCGACGTCAAGATATTCTGACGACATTGCGGACAGTTACACAACAACCTCACCTAATTTTGTAAATCTGGAATTGGAAATCTCTTCGGACAAGAACTTGATACCCGATCAAGTGAGCATGTGGGATATAAAAACCATGCTTCAATCTCAGGCCATCATTCTACGGGATGTTGTGACTGGACAACAAAATCTCCACGCACAGAATGCCAACCTAATGAGGAGATACAGAAGTTTGCGAAAATATCTGCGCAGAATAAACAGGTCGTGTCTATGCCGTAATTCACAGATAACTAATATGGTGTCAGATGATTCCAGAAAAGCAGAGGCTTCTCGAAATGGAGGGAAATCACCGAGGACTAGACAGGTTAATCGGAAGGTTTCACTAAAGCACCAACCGGATTCCCAGACGAAGCGGGAGCTGCAGCACGGGTCGAATTCAGAAGAAAGTGGAGCTGGGTCCCATTTACCCATAAACTTGCATCCTTCTAACTTTCGCAGAGAAACAACATATGGTACTAATGACTGGATAGCCCGGTCTAGCACAGCACGACCAGGGGCTACAGATCCCACCAGTGACTGGATATCCCGACCTAGTACAACACGACCAAGGGATACAGATCCCACCAGTGACTGGATATCCCGATCTAGCACAACGCGACCTGGGACTTCAGATCCAACCAGTGACTGGATAGCCCCGTCTAGTACAACACGACCAGGGGCTACAGATCCCACCAGTGACTGGATATCCCGATCTAGCACAACACGACCAGGGACGTCAGATCTCACCAGTGACTGGATACCCCGATCTAGCACAACACGACCAGGGGCTTCAGATCCAACCCATGACTGGATAACCCAGTCTAGCACAGCCCTAACCTCAAATGGCGGTCGAATAATAGATACATCAACTACTACAGATGACAAACCAACGCCCTTGACTACGGATATTACTACAGATGTCCCAATACGTTCCCATGGTGATCGATTTGTTAACAAAGATGGAGATAGCCACGTTCAAATCAATAATAACGCGGGAATGGGTCATGACGATGAAGTGAATAATAACGCGGGAATGGGTCGTGACGATGACGTGAATAATAACGCGGGAATGGGTCATGACGATGACGTGAATAATAATGTGGGAATGGGTCATGAGGCTGGCGTGAATAATAAGAGAATGAATATGATTTATAGCAATAAACTGAATGACGAGAGAGGTGTGAATAGTAATATAACTAGGGAAGTGAATATTAAAGACAGTAAAGTGAATGATAGTCAAGTGGTGTTTAGCAGGGAATTAAATAATCATACTGAAACAGGAATTCGTCATGACCCAGTTATAGCAGGGAGTAATAGACGAGTGGGTGATAAAGTGATTGCTTACAGGGAAGGGGATAGCGACGGTGTCTATAACAACAGGGAAGGGGATGGCGACGGGGGATTCATGCAGGGGGGTATCTATAACAACAAGGAAGCCCATGATAACAGGGAAGTTCATGATAACAGGGAAGTCCATGATATCAGGGAAGTCCATGATAACAAAGACAGTTATAACAATAGAAATATGGGTGATAAATATTATCGGGGTCACCTGGGTTTGAATCAGAATGTGAATAATAACAACATGAACGTGAATAAATATATGGATGTGAATAGTGAAAGCGAAATGGATTTGAATAAGAATGTAAACAGAAATGTATTGGGTGTGAATAATGCTGAACTAACAGGATCTGAACTAACAGGATATGAAGTACAAACTGGTGTTCAGAATGTTCAGATAAATATAAATGGTGATACCAATAATGTTCTAGGCGAACGGGATAGTGATACCAATAATGTTCTGGGTGCACGGGATAGTGATACAAATAATGATCTGGGTGCATGGGATAGTGATACCAATAATGTTGTGGGCGAACGGGATAGTGATACCAATAATGTTTTGGATGCACGGGGTAGTGATACAAATAATGTTCTGGGCGAACGGGATAGTGTTACTAATAATGTTGTGGATGAAAGGGACAGTGATACCAATAATGTTCTGGGCGAACGGGATAGTGATACCAATAATGTTGTGGATGAAAGGGACAGTGATACCAATAATATTCTGGGCGAACGGGATAGTGGTGTTCAATGGAATTATATGAATAGTTTGAGAAGTTCTGGAATCCTGAATAACGTTAATGGTGGGAGTGCCACTTTAAACCGATTTTCTCATCAACCTTTACGAAAAGATAAAATGGCATCTTTTGGCGCCTCGTTATCAGACATTGTATCTTATAATGGAGAGTTAGAAGGTTCTCTGAAAGAAAGATTCGGTAAACCTCGAGGGGGGTCAACAACGGATTTACCTGTAAACACAGGTGAGATGCATTAACTACAGGTAAACTTCATATATCTTTAATCATATAAATTGTTAATATGCATATTATTTTAGAACTTCTATCAGATTAAGCTATGTTACTTAAAGGGGAATTATTCAAGATTAGACAAAGAGCTGACAATCAGGGGCCATAATCCAATGAATTACGGTCCACTTTGTACGAATATCGAACGGAATCGAGATCGTTTGGATATAAGAATATATTGTAAGTTTTGTCAAAATCGGATAGAAATTGTGACACTATTTGCGTACAAGGAGCAGTCATTTTGTCGGGCAGTGTCGGTCCGATTTTCACACGAAATATGAAGTCAGCCATTATTAGGATGTACCGGTGATATATTAAATGTTGTTTTTTTTAAAATGAGATAAAAATTGTGTCTTCTGGAGGGACCACAAGCTAAAAACGCGATTTTTCCTACAATCAGGGGCCATAATCCAGGAAGTTACGGTCCGATATGTGCGAATATCTATATACAGGAACCGAGATCTTTGGGTTATAAACATACATTTCAAGTTTCATCACAATCGGATAAAAATTATGACCTCTAGAGTGTCCAGAAGCTAAAAACTTATTTATCGAACAATCATGGGTCATAATCCTTGAAGTTACGGCCCGATACATGCCAATTACGAACGGAACAGGATAAACCAATATTTCGTCACAAACGGATAAAAATTGTGATATGTAGAGTGTTCACAAACAACCTGTGGACGGACGGACGGACAGGAGCGACGACGTATAAAAATTTAGATACGTAAGAATTTCGGGACGGCTATAACCATATTTGTACATGTGGCTATTATAACTTTATTGCTACTCTAATTATATTATAAAAGAGGAACAATAATACAAATCAGTGGTTTATAGTAAGTCGATTGACAAACTTTGAAAGCTTGGACTCTTTAAGATGTTATTTTGAACTCTGGCTATCTAGAAAACAAAGCGGGCGTCGTTATAGTTTTATCGCGATGAACAGATGAGAATAGTTTTAGAATAATTGGCATAATATATTTCTATTCCTGAACAGACCAGCACTGTACTTAAAGAACGTATATTATTTTAACAACACTTGTTTTTAAATGAAACTATAATAATACTAGAACGGTATCAAATATATGCGAATAAATAAAAAAAAATAGAATCTGTTTATAAAAGACAAATTCCGGTCCAAGGTCGATATCCGTGATGGTTGATATTCGAGAAGGTTGAAGGTCGATATTCTACTAAAACCGGTCCAAGGTCGATATTCCACTAGAAGTATTTATAAAATGGTATTTTATGTTCCATTTTTGACACAAATGTACAAAAGATATTTTATGCCGCTTCATATAGTTTGATAAACTGTAACATTTGGTGAAATCTGATTAGAACACAGATCCCATTTCGTTTCGTTTTTTTATAGTTCAAAATTTCGTTTTACTTGTCTTTACTAAACTAGGATCTGGAAAAGTTGTTATATAACAGGCGTTCTAGTTAATGTGAGGAATTAGGCAATGGAACGGTCTGTTACGGCGACTTCTTGGCGTGCCATGCACGGAACTGTGGGTAAACCCCTAGAAACATCAACGCTGATTGATTAATCAATGTCTGCCGTCATAGGGTCAAAATCCGCTTGTACGACCCCTGACACGACCTTTGAGTACAACTTGTCAGATCTGCATGTAGTGTAGACCATCGCAAGTATAAAAACGGCAACGAAATATAGATCTGTATTTTAATTTGATTGCATTCGGTAAAAGATGCAGCAGCTCCATTCCCTGTGCTAAATACTATTGATAGATATTACACCCAGCACATGTTTAACACTACACCGTCAACATGTAAACTATTATAAACTATTTTAATATACACCACATGTTTAGGTTAATGCCTGTTACAGTTTGGCGAGACAAACATGTACAGACCACGGTAACTACCAACACAGACCCTCCAAATGTTTCAATTTCTAGGTTTTCGACAGTCCCCAAATGGCCATTCTTCCGGCAAAGATACGTCAAATGTGAAATTTCCTCCCTAGCACCGCATGGTTACGATTTTGGTGTTTATCCCGAATGGGTACACTTCCACTAATCGTCCCGAATGGGTACACTTCCACTAATCGTCCGGAATGGTTACACTTTCACTAATCGTCCCGAATAGTTACACTTCCAGTAATCATCTCGGATGTTTGCACTTCCAGTAATCGTCTCGGATGGTTGCACTTCAAATAATCGTCCAGTAATTGTTCCGGATGGTTGCACTTCAAATAATCGTCCAGGATGGTTACACTTCCAGTAATCGTCTCGGATAGTTGCACTTCAAATAATCGTCCAGTAATCGTCCCGGATGGTTGCACTTCAAGTAATCACCCAGTTGGATGGTTACACTTCCAATAATCGTCCCGGGTGGTTGCACTTCAAATAATCGTCCAGTAATGGTCCCGGATGGTTGCACTTCAAGTAATCGTCTCGGATGGTTGCACTTTAAGTAATCGTCCAGTTATCGTCCCGTATGGTTGCACTTCAAGCAATCGTCCAGTTATCGTCCCGGATGGTTACACTTCAAGTAATCGTCTCGGATGGTTGCACTTTAAGTAATCGTCCAGTTATCGTCCCGTATGGTTCCACTTCAAGTAATCGTCCAGTTATCGTCCCGGATGGTTACACTTCAAGTAATCGTCGCTTTATCGTCACGGATGGTAACACTTCAAGTAATCGTCCTGTTATCGCCACAGATCGTTCCACTTCAAGTAATCGTCCAGTAATCGTCCTGGATGGTTGCACTTTTCAAGTAATCGTCCCGGATCGTCCAGTTATCGTCCTGGATCGTTGCACTTCAAGTAATCGTCCAGTTAACATCTATTATCAAAGCGTTTTTGTCTATTTTTTCAGGATTCTATGATTTAGAGATTGACCTAACCTCAGGTCAGTACCATGGAAACCATTTTGCAATTACTTGGATATCCAATCTAACAAAAGGTCTGTCTGAGAAATGTGGTTTACAAGGCGTGGTCGAGCTGACATTTCCACGAGCATTGGCCAATGAAGAACAAGTAACGGCAATGATTGACATGTGGTTTGATAAACCTACTGCCTGGGTTTTTAATATTGGTGATTCCAAATCAAATGACGGCTTTTGTAAGTATACATTGCACTTATTCCAGCGCTTAATTACAATTACACTAACTATCCTTGTTTCCCGTCCGCTTCCACAGTAGGTGATATCGCAGACAATATTCTCTCTTTTTGGCACGCGCAAACTCTGATTTTTGAGGGGGGGGGGGCAAATAGTTAGCACGTGCGCGCTGTATCATAAGGTCTGTCATTGAGTCAACTGGCGTGGTTTCCAATCCCCGGTTGTACGTAACAAGGAGTAGGGTCGCCTGTCCAACCTCGTGGGTTTTCTCCGGGACCTCCGGTTTCCTCCCACTGCTAAAGACCCCTACGCGCAAGTGAATTATGGAAATAAAATTAAATCATATGTTAGTTCCGAAATGACCTACTTTGTGTCGAGTGGACGTTAAACCCCCTTTCTTTCTCTGATTTTGGAATACAGATTAAACTTAAGTCAACGAAATCGCCCCTTTGTATTTGTAACCCAACTCTAAGAGGTCGTGTCATATTAAGAGATATGTTCATGGACATATTCGAGCAAAAACTTTTACACTGCTGCCAATCACATAGGGTCAGGTGTGATTGTGGGTTGTTTCTAGCAGTGTATAACCAATCGCATAGGATCAGGTGTGATTGTAGATGGTAAATGTAACGGTTGTTTCTAGCACTGTATAACGGTTGTTTTTGTCTGTTGGTTTATCATGAAAATAAAATATAATTCAGGCTTTTTCAAATCGTGTTTCTCTTTTCAGCTGGTGATGGGCAAACTCAACAAAACGATTGCGAAGTGGAAGGATATGGATCTACATTTACTGTTCACGGTAGTGATAAGGCCCGCGACCCACTCAACAAAATCCTTAATATTGAGGATGATTTTCTGAACAAAACGGCGTCGTTTCTTGTGACGAATGAAGAATTGGCATGGCGCGGACAAGGAGAATCAAATTATCGGGTGATGAAGGATGAAAGTTTGTTCGCTTTAAAAGGCCAGTCTGATAACCAAGGGGCAGTGAATTATAATATCTATGTCGGAATGAATCGTGTTATTGGTGGAAATTATCGTCAAGGTCGAGGATTGTGTTGGATCGGATTTAAATGGCTGACATCTATAAATTAAAAGAAACACTCGTTTATATATAAATACATCGATCAATTTTAAAATAAATATAATAATATACTATTGTTAATCATTTCTGGAATTTCATTTAAATTCAAGAAAGAAACTGAGGATACTCATTGAACTTACGCTCTCGAATTGAATTGTCTCAACCTCTCAAGTGGTGTCAATGGATTAACACCAGAATTGTGTGCGACAAGGCACGCGCCAACCGAATACGACTGATACACGTCGACCAATCACCACAGCTTAAACGTTTGATTATGTCAAGATGCTGTTCAGTAGTCGAATACTGGGAACTGTTTGATGACGTCAAGATCCTGTTCAGTAGCCGAGTACTCGGAACTGTTCGCCAAAGTCCATATAAAATCAGACCAGGATAATAGGGTGTGGGTAGGAGAAGCAGAAGGGTCCCTTGGCATTGGCCTACGATTTTGGCGTTGGCCTATGCGTGGTTCTATCTAAAGACAGCGCTGCATAATACCATGACTGTGTATTTTCCCCTGACACAAAATATTTAAAGGAGCTAAATCGCTAATATTTGGGACCTAGAAATGGACACAAATGGGTCGGTCGCAACGCATATAATAATGTAATATGAATGTCTATAAACTGATTTACATTCAATCGTTTCAAATCAGTTATTTTAGGCGAAATTCGCCAGAAGTCTCAATTGAATGGCAATCTCTAGCGTCTGGTTATTCCAGTCTATATAGTATTTATTGCGCATGCTCTCCAGATAACGAATATTGGGTCACCGTTTGACATGCCGTGTGGCATATGTACGAAAGCCCAGAAGGCTCATTCCAAATTCCAAATTCCAAATGCTAAATTCCAAATTCCAAATTCATGTCTTACCGATAAAATAGCAAATTGGCAGCCCCCCTCAATTAAACAAATTAAAATTTATATAAATTGTAATTTTACACAACTAATTACTTCTAGTTTACCTATCTGGGGCGGATAAATACCCGTTCCAAATTACTAGATTCCAAATTCCAAATTCCAGATTCCAAATTCCAGATTCCAAATTCCAGATTCCAAATTCCAGATTCCAAATTCCAAATGCGAAATTCCAAATTCCAAATTCCAAATTCCAAATCTGATTCGACCAATCGGATCAGGTTTTTGCTTTTGACTAATGAAATGGGGTTTAACGTCCTACTGTTCTGCTCCAACTGAGCTAATGAAGAATCAGTTAGAGTATAATAGCAATATTCCAGTTCGGGTTTGCTTCGGCAGATGTGAACAGTTTGGGGCCGAGTTCCTCTGCAGGGAGCTACTCTGCTACTCGGTATCCTAGGACTGGCATTTTTTTTTTTTTTTTGCAACAGCAGCAAATTTGGAATTTGGAATCTGGGCTTTCGTACATATGTCTAGCCTCGTTCTTCGAGTTCCTGTAAGATCACGACATCAATGTTGATTTAAATTGACAAATAATTCGCGTTTTCAATGTTAAAGACTTTGGATGATATTGGGTTAGCAGTTGGCCTACTAGCGGGCATGTGTATTCTTTTCACATCTATCTGTACATTTTGTGGGTTCTTTTATTGGTGTACTGTACAAATAAATCGAAATAAAAATGTTAAAACAAAAATGGAGGTTAGGCACATTAGTGATGCACGTAATACAGCAGGGGAGGAGAGGAGGGGAGGGATGGGAAGGGAAGGGGAGGGGGGTCCTTCCCGGTTGGTTAAACGTACGGAATGATAGGCTGACGTTTCGGATATACAGGGCAACTGATTTGGATTAGGGTTTAATACCTTTTAGTCCGGTGGCTCAAGGGGGGGGGGGGGGTAAATACCTAATACCTAATACACATGTATAGACTTGGGGGTTGAGGACAATTCCTAAATTGGACGAGAAATGTGATAATGTTGATATACATTTTTAAAGAATAAAATGTATAGCACTGTACAGCTCTAAATAGGCCTGCTCGTATTTTGGGGGCCAAAAACATCTTACACGGCCTTTCCTAGTGAGTGGGAGCGGTTCCATGCTGATGTGACACGAGTAAAAGGGTTGAGCACTGTTCCATATGACACGAGTGAAAGGGTTGGGCACTGTTCCATGTGACACGAGTAAAAGAGTTGGGCACTGTTCCATGTGACACGAATAAAACGGTTTGACTCGGTATCGGCAACCTGACTGAGCAAGTGGGGGACCTGTGATATACCTTGTAATGGCTCCCTGAATTAAAAACATTCACATGCATTTGAAAACATCGATATTTGCCAATATTTTCGTATTTATGCGTCTGAAATATATCATATTAGCCTACATTCCCATTAATTAATGTGATAAAATAATTAACCCAACTAAACGATATAATTGGCTACAATCGTTAAACGTAAACACACAGTCGTTGATAAAGTTGAAACGCTAGTAATGATGTCTTGTCAATGATGTAGGACGGGTGGCCTGACAAGGATAGCTGTCTAGTCGTTTGGATGGGACGAAAATCCGAGGTCCCGTGTACACATTGGCGTGCACGTAAAAGATCCCTTGACAGTTGGAGTTCAATATAAGAGTAGGCCGTAGTGCCGCTGTCCAGGCAAAATTTCCCTCATAGCACACTGTATGTCCGTCTTCATTAACCCAGTTCGGAGCAGAACAGTAGGACGTTAAACCACATTTCATTTCATTTCATTGACGGTTTTTAGTCGATAAAGTGCTCGTTCTTTGTTGCTTTTTTTAAAACAGATCAAGGGAGATAAATCGACTGAGATCAACAAATTGGAAGATAATATTGATTAACTAACATTGCTTACTAGGTTTTTTAATTTCCTTATAAAATAAATAAAATCCGCACATAAACTGAAGAGTAAGGCCGTAAGCAAATAACAAGGCTATCAATAAATAGTTTAGGACTAGGCTCGCATAATGAACTTCACATGACAATTTTAATTGATAAATTTATTTAGGAAAATATACCTGAATTTCCACTTGAATTTTATTTCTGTATTATAATATTATAGAATCGACTAAGAACAGTTACAGGCCTTGCTACAGCCAGTCGAAATGCATCACACCAAATTTCCTGACTATATGAAACACACTTTGGCTCGTCTGGATTATTAAATGACTTTTGTGATTATTTGAATGGTTTTCTGTCTCTCTTGTATGATCAAATATTCATCGAGGACAACCCGTATAACTAATTTAGTTCTTTATTAATCTCCACTTGTGTAGATAGGTTTGTTTATGACATTTTGGTGGAGTTTAATCATCATGGTCTTAACAAATTCTACAAAAAAAGATTTTTTTCTAAAAAATGCCAAATTGCAAACCTCCTGAAATTTGATGCTAAAATTCTGAAATAAATCGCAGAACATCTCAGTGCCTTTTCGATGCATTGTGCCACGTTTTATCTTTCTACTGTATTGGGAAGTATTTTTTCCGACTTTTTCAAAAACTTCACATTGAGTCACTTTTGGTGAAAAATTCAAAATGGCTGTTGGTAGGAAAATTATAATATTCGCTGGTGATGAGTTTGGACCCAATTGGAAACGCATGGCATATGGTAGAGTTCAATCGTGAAAAAAAGTTCAAATATGAAACACCCTAAGGTATGGCTATATTCCACGACGGCCTCAAAAGGTCAATGACCTTAAATATACAAGTACATTTGAGTAAGCAAACAACAAGGAAAAAGTGAGTACGGTTTTACAGTATTTTAAACCCTTAGTTTAAATGAGTTAAAAATAAAAACTGTGATGGATTTTGCTATAGTTTTTGCATGGGTTGAAGACAGTTTCAAGTGTATTTGGTAAACAATTGTCACCAAGTGTTGGGTATATGTAAATAGCCGGGCATTCTAGTAAGAAATGTAATTCACTTCCAACTTGCTGACATATTCTTTTGTCTGGTGGAATATTCGTATATCTACCCCTTTCAATCTCGAGTGAGTGGGAACTCGGTCTAAGTGAAGTCATTACAGTTTTGAAATTCTTGTTCTGAATATGTAGCAAATAATCAGCAGGAATGTTAATAACCCATATGTTCTTTATTTCACACCTTTATTCGCATTTGAGCAGCATGATTCAGAAAAAATTAATTTGAATTGTAATTGGAGAACTGATTTAAAAGGGGCTAAATCGCTAATATTCGGGACCTAGAAATTGACACATCTGGGTCGCAACAACGCATATAATAATGTAATATGAATGTATATAAACTGATTTACATTCAATCGTTTCTGTTTTTACTGTAATTTCTAATCAGTTATGTTCGGCAAAATATGCCAGAAGTCTCAATCGAATTTCAATCTCTAGCGTCTGGTTATTCCAGTCTACGCCGATAGTATTTATTGGGCATGCTCTCCAGATAAGAATATAGCGTCACCGTTTGACATGAGCCCCTTATTACAATAATGGCACTGAAACGCATTATGGCACACGATTCGTGTAACAATTATAAAATGTTTATTTTGTCTTAAATATTGGATATCAGAAGCCCATCTTTTCCCGGTAAGATCACAACATCAATGTTGATTTAAATTGAGAAATAATTCGTGTTTTCAATGTCGAAGAATTTGGATGATATTGAGTTAGAGATTACTTTTAGTGAGATTAAATGAGTTAATATTGAAGTAATTTAGCAAACATGTAACACAGGTTCTACAAAAAATTTGCTATCAAAATTTGCCATTTTAATGTCATCCTTGAATGCTGCAGCAAGGACAGGGTTAGTTTCTTTTATTTTAGAGTTATTTAGTCTTTTATACGCAGTAGCCGATCTAGAACCTGTGAATGGAGGGGCAAATTTAGGGTACCTTACACAATCCTCCCCCACAATGTCAACAAATTACTGGCTATAACACTAAACACTAGTACATATTCCGAGGTGGTTTCCCCTTGTCATTGGTGCAGGAAGGAGGGCCTGACAAGGACAGCTGTCTAGTCGTTCGGATGGGTCGAAAAACCGAGGTCCCGTATATACATTGGCGTGCAAGTAAAATATCCCATAGTCGTTGGAATTCGATATATAAAGAGTAGGCCATTGTGCCGCTGCCCGGACAAAAATTCTCTTATAGCACACTGTACGGTGTATGCTTGTCTTCATTAGCCCAGTCGGAGCTGAACAGTAGGACGTTAAACCCCATTTCATTTCATTTCGGTAGAACATAGATCGTGTTGTCTATATAGTTGTTCGCCGACTAGAGCAGTTTTATGCAAGTTGACATGAAGTGTATGTCATATTATCATTGTTATCGATTTTGTTATTATTTTATTGGTGTGTGTGTGGGGAGAATGGTTAGCACGTGCGCACTGTATCATACGGTCTGTCATATGGTCAACTGGCGTGGTTTCAATTCCCCGGTTGTACGTGGGTTTTCTCCGGGTTTTCCTCCCAATGCTAAAGACCCCTACGTGTAAACGTATTATTGAAATAAAATTTAACCATATTATTATTATTTTTATTATTATGTTAGTCCCGAAATGACCTAATTTGTGTGGAGTGGACGTTAAACCCCATTTCTCTCTCTCTCTCTCTCTCTCTCTCCCTCTCTATTATTTTATTGTAAACCTTATATGCGGTGGCGTAGCCAGGATGTTTATGAAGGACGGTGGGTGGGGGAGGCTTGAATGCCTATTTCCAGGCTTTCAAAATCATTACTCGAGATCTGCCTGTCAATCACTGGCGGTGCCAAGGGTGTGTGTGCGTTGGGGGGGGGGGGCGTCACTGCTGTCATTTTTGTAGCCTGTCGCCGCACGCACTAGTAATACTACTAACTGGGCGGTTCAGTATATGATAGTGACTATCATATGATAGTGATGAGATAAGTATAATACCACAGAGGAGTGGACGAAGGATGCGCGGAAAACAATTTCAGATATATTTTGGACAGTTTCTGCGAGGGGAGTGAGGTGCTGTGGCCGTGGACCTCCCCCCGCCCCACACCCTCCGCTCGCTACACCAGTGCTTAGGAGCGCCTTCTTTGTCTCGCGAGGGCGCTTATATTACTTGATATGTGGCGGTGTCCCCCCCCCCCCAAAAAAAAATCCACGCCTGCTAATTGTAAGGGGAAAAGTCCAAGTTCTGCAAGGCAACCTAATCGATATTTTATTGTGATCTATTTGACTCCACTTTGATAAGTTAAATCCCTTACAACTAACAACATGAGAGCCCCATACATCTGAGGCTATATAATTTGTTTTACGACAGATTCACATAATTTCAATCATACCTCTGTAGGGAGGTAGCTAGAGGAACAGATTTTGTTTTTTGTTATATTGACTTCAAGATAATGAGTTCACAATATCAAGTTTTATATTGCCAAAAGTAAGACATAATAAAATATTTTCTATTAGTTTTCTTATTAGGTTTATTTATAAGATGATTATCTTAGATTTATTAGGATTTACTTGTAACTGCCACTTTTTACAGTAGTCATGAAAATGATTAAGAGAATCTTAATGAAGACCTTGCGATGAAATTGAGAATTAAACCAGCTGGTCATTAATTCGAAGAGCAAATATGAAATTTTCAAATCGTCCAAACATGGAGCGTATAAAGACATGACGAAAAAAAGAAAAGAACTGTTCTGATTAATTCTAGTTCGCGAACCAAATTTTGATTTACAACAATTTAAAATAGTACTGATGATGAATAAAAATATAGAAATCTTAAAATGTTTCGGAGCTTAATTTTGTATAGCCTACAATTCGTTCATGTCTTTGTAAAGTTGTGTATCTTTGTATAATTATGTCCATGTATGTATCCTTTGTTTGTTTCATGTAGGCTATATTTCTATTATTTTATTTGTTTTTGCACATAACCTTGTAAGGTTTTTTATGCAATAAAATTTCTTCTATATCGAGTGGTATTTTAATTCTAGACTTAAAGCAAGGGTTTATCTTTTGCTTGGGTCTGCAAATAACGAACATCGATGGCAAATTACTCCTTGACAGATAATAAAGTTTAGATTTTTTATGATTAGAACTAATAAAGTTCTTCCATATGTTTGAGTCAAGATTTGACAGACGGACACGTGGAAATAAACACCGCTGAAGGGCTTGTCGGGGAGAACTCATTAACAAATGAGAAGGGTTGTGCTAAAAGTTGAAATTTAGTCGAAAATATACTGATGACCTATATTTCCAACTAAGCAAATACCATATTAATTTGGAAAGTATCGAACTCCAAGAACAAATTGAAAGCAGACAATATCCAAACAATCGTATAATCTTCCATTACAACAATCAATAATTACTCCCAACAAAAATGGCTGCGCCCTGTCGTCGTCTGCTGGGTTTCGTCTTATTTTATCTATTTTTCACGTCGATATCTGCCTGGGACGAGGGAGATTTTGAGGTTTTTGATGCAGTGGAAGAAGTGAATCAGAACTTTTATGAATTTCTGGGAATTGGTCAGGTAAATAAATGTAAAATAATTCGTAGATGTCAAATTGACTTTCTGAAAACTTTCCGACGAGAAACAATAATATTTATTTTGTAATGTAGTCTATCAGAAAATAACAGTTGTATTGTTAACGGTATCATATTTGATATAACTAAGTACACTCACCTGTATTTTTAAATCCAAGAATTGATATACTGCATTGCATGGGGCGCTTCTAATTACCCAATCACCCAATCCACCGGTACCCAATTGAATAACACCCAATAAGTTGAATAACTCCAATTAAAATAACTCCCAAATGCTGAGTTTGGAAACACAAAATCGGAGTTTCACACTCATTCGTATGTTGATATGCATTTGTTGTATTTTGGAGCAATTTATCGCATAAAATTAAAAGCCTTGATCAACAAGTAGTCTGGCGGGGTTAGAATCCAGGTTTCCTTGCTTATGGAACCTAACAATATAGTATTACCTCTGTACACCCTCGAGTACAGTACTATACTGGTATCAACAACTTGGTATAGCATATGTTTGTTTGATTGTCTAAGTACATTAATGGAAGAAAATTGTTTAAGAGATTTTAAAGGAGCTAAATCGCTAATATTTTGGACCTAGAATTTGACACGAACGGGTTGCAACGCATAATGTAATATGAATATATATAAACTGATTTACATTCAATCATTCTGTTTTACTAGAATTTCTAATCAATTATCTTTGGCGAAATACGCGAGATGTCTCAATCAATTGGCAATCTCTAGCATCTTGTTATTCCAGTTTACACCGATAATATTTATTGCACATGCCTATATGGTCTCCAGATAAGAATATGGCGTCGCCGTTTTACATGACTTGTGGAATATGTCTAGCCTCGTTCTTTGAGCCCCTTGTTACAAATGGCGCTGAAATGCATTATAGTACACGATTCGTGTACCAATGGTAAAGTGTTTATTTTGTCTTAAATATTGGATATCAGAAGCCCATCTTTTACCGGTAAGATCACAACATCAATGTTGATTTGAATTGACAAATAATTTGTGTTTTTGATCTCAGAGATTTTCGATGATATTGAGTTAGAGACTTAGCTACTTTAAGCTTATATATGTTTTGTTTTAGGATGCCAAAAGTAGTGAAATCAGGAAGGCATATCGTAAATTATCTCTACAGCTTCATCCAGATAAAAACAGTGCTGCTGATGCTGAATCTCAGTTTAGAAATGTAAGTTTAAAGGTACATGTGTGCTAGTGTTCAAACTGAGTAGAGAACGAATAGCATACAATAATATGTGATTCTCAAATATTCAGATATGACTTTCTCAAATGTCTATCATGTATAATTTAAATAATTACAAACTTTCCTGGAATAGAGAACTGAGTAGAGAACGAATAGCATACAATAATATGTGGTTCTCAAATATTCAGATATGACTTTCTCAAATGTCTATCATGTATAATTTAAATAATTACAAACTTTCCTGGAATTCACTGTAAAACATGAATAAGAATGTGTAACTATTGTGTGGTTTTATCTGTTGATGCAAATTGACAAACAAAAAAAACAAATTCTTCATTTTACAGTTTCTAACATAGAAGAACAGTTTAATAAGCTCTTGGAAAAGCATAGCCATGACAGTATTTCGTAAAAACTTTGATTTTAATTTATTTAAAGAGAACCAGTGGCAAGAGAGAGAAAAAATGGGGTTTGACGTACACTCAACACAGACTTGGTCATTTTGGGACTAACATATGGTTTAATTTTATTTCAATAATTCGCTTGCGAATAGGGGTCTTTAGCAGTGGGAGGAAACCGGAGGGCCCGGAGAAAACCAAAGAAGTTGGTCAGGCAACCCTACTCCTTGTCACGTACAACCGGGGAATCGAAACCACGCCAGTTGACTCAATGACAGACTTTATGGTACAGCGCGCACGTGCTAACCATTCAGCCATCCAACCCACCCCTGAATAGTTTGATGGTTGTTTCATGATCCTCTGTGTTTATTTTACAGCTTGTAACAGTTTATGATATACTTAGAAATGAAGACAAAAGGCAAAGGTAAGTTTCTTTAACTTGATTAAAATGAATTTTACCAGGAATTAGCACTGAGATAAATAGTTTTTAAAATGTGGAACCAGCTGAATAAAAAAAAAATATACATATATTGTTTTTACTGTTTGTTGCAATTTCAAGTATTTGTTCTGATTTAACCTATTTTGTTTAGACTATTTATTTGTTGTGATTTAACATATTTTGTTTAGGCTATTTGTTGTGATTTAACATATTTCTTTAGGCTATTTGTAGTATTTTATTGTAGTTGTTTAGGCTATTTGTGGTATTTTATTGTATTTCTTTAGGCTATTTGTGGTATTTTATTGTAGTTGTTTAGGCTATTTGTCGTGATTTAACATGGTTGTTTAGGTTATTTGTTGTGATTTGATGTATTTGTTTAGGCTATTTCTCCGTCTGGTGTCACAGGATCAAAACAACTAAAGTATCGTTGGATAGCTCGATGCATGGGCTATCATATGGCAATTTTCCTATCTGCTTCCTAAAAGCCAGTTCAGTGCTGCTTGCAGGTCTAGTTATTATTAGTGTTAGTATTGTTATTAAAATGCTGAAATGACAGGAAATTGACCAGATATATATTGTTGATTTTTTATTTGAAATCAATAAAGTTGGATTAATTCTATTATAGATATTGTAACAGATTTTATAACTACTGGTACGCTACAATAGTAATTGATCTTTTCAATATGAATATTAAATTGAATTCACATTAATTTGTATAGAAATAACTACATAAACCCACTTAATTAAAGTTAATTATTATAGATCAACTGTTTTTAGAGACCCAGTTCACATTCAATCCCAGGTTTTCTCAAGTGTGTTTTTACCTTTACATTGGAAACAATTTATGAAACTAAATTCCTTTATTTATTGCAATGAAATGACCCACTCTAGAAAATTCCTATTCCCGTTTGGGACTATTCTATGATCCTGGTTTGAAGGCTTACTCATGTTAAGTGATTACATTTCTAGTCTCCGTGATAAAATTCTTACCCAATTCCTCGTGACTAAAGTTTGTCCTGTTAGTTTTGTAATGACTCTACTTGGTAATCGTCAACCACTGATTTGGAATTTGAAATTTATTGTCTGCTTTCGTCCCCCATTTTCAATAGAAGGCTTGATCTCGCTTTAACTACGTATATCTTATCAAGGCCTTCACGTAATACCCTGCATATTTCAGCACTAATTTCGATTGGGTACAAGCGAATACCAAGTCTCACGCTTTCAAGCTAAAATGTCTACCTGTGATAATCGAGTTGCAAAGTTCAAGGTTCATTCAATGTCAAGGTTTCCGTGGAGGTTGCGATGTCACAACCTCTGATTGGACGCTACTGCTCACGTGTCTGTAGATAACATAGCTATAATCAAAAACACACTTTTATGGATAACAATTACTATGGTTTATTTCACTGCAACGTTTCAACAAGATTTCACAAGTCGTTATCAAGCATATACACAACCTTTGTTACATCAATAGCTTGTTATAGCTAATCATGCTCACTCACCTTGCATTCCATTGGATAGTTCGCACTGATGTTTGTATATATATTCATATTTTTCTCATTTTTTATCTATTTGTGTATATGCTTGATAACGACTTGTGAAACCTTGTTGAAACGTCACAGTGAAATAAACCATAGTAATTGTTATCCATAAAAGTGTGTTTTTGATTATGTTCCAATTACTAAATGCCATTCAAAGAACATAGCTATAAGTTCGGGAATTGTGAAGTAAACAAGCAACGGCCAGATGTTGTGAAACTCGCCGTCGTTGCTACAGGAACATGTTGTTCCCCATTGTCTAGGATTTTTTGGTCTTGCTAGTATACTTATCTTGCTGTAAGAAGTTATTTATTGTTGTATCTATCTCTGATTGTTTCAGATATAATAAAGTGTTGGAAGATGGATTACCTGATTGGAGACAACCTGTATTTTACTATAGACGTGTTAGAAAGATGGGATTGGGAGAATTATTTCTATTATTGGCTGGTATTTTCACACTTGGTCAGTATTTGACAGCATGGTCTGTTTATCTTGAGAAAAAACTTGTTGTGGTGAGTACCCAGTATAACAACCCCATTGAAAACTGACTTATTTCTACACTCGATTTCAACTTTAACTATTGTTTTTGTTAAGTTTATTATTCTTCTTGTGGACATCTATTTTAATGTTTCCATTGGTACAGGAAGTCAGGTCAGTTAAAGGGTAACATACGTAGCACTTGTGAAAGCTGTCATCACTGCATCACAGTTCTAGTTCTTTTACATATTCATTATTTAAGGCTGACCTTAAAAATATCTTTGTTTCACCAAACCCGACCCACAATCGAGGAGAAGGGTCGGTAGGTCGGGATTTTTTTCAGATTTTTTTTTAAAGTCAGAAAACTTATCAGCTGTATACTACAGATTCATTAATTTTGTTTAATGAATTTTGGGTCTGACGTAAAAAGTAACGAACTCAAAGTTTTTATTATACTTAAGAGCTAATTTGACAGCTTGATAATTTTCCGGGTGGAATCATTCGTCTTCTTTATTGGCAATCAAATCAATGACATCGGGATTTTTCGTGATGCACAACTCGCACACGATTTGCCACGAACATGAAGTGTGAAACTCCTTTAACACGTTTTTAACGATCGTTCGGGTTGTGCCTTCACTTTTCTCGAAAACGGATATTGAAAATATCGTCGTCATGTTTAAAACGAGGCCCCACAGACATAGAGGCAGAATCATTTTGTGGGAATGGACGTGCTTTCGTCTGCAACCATTTTGTTGAGAAGCGACACCTATGACGCTTTCGTCTTGATCAACCAGTTTCAATAATGAATCAAAGGGAAATAACTCTCGTGATATATTTCAGGTAGACACACGAAATAAAATAAAAAGATCGCGGAAAAGTCAAATAAAATAATTTAAGTCGGGGGTGGTTTTAGTTAGTCGGTCGCGTTAGGCGAAACAAAGATATTTTTAACGTCAGCCTAAGCCTACTTTTATTTATGATTTTCTGGGTCTTCCACTTGAATGATCACCAAGGTGTTTAAGATCATTATTATACGCATATGTCAAAAATAAACTAAAACCACTGATAATTAACCAGAACGCGGCTTATATAACAACTCTTCCTCATCCAAGTGTTGTGAAGACAAGTAAAATGAAATTTTGAACTAAAAAAAACGAAACGAAATAGGATCTGTGTTTTAATCAAATTGCTTTAAAACCTCAATTTATTTGTGTTTTCAATCTAATACTATATTCCAAGTGCCAAAAAACAACAAACAAAACAACGGTCAGTTATTTATCTGTCTTCATTATACTGGTTGGTACTGAAATGTAAGGGGTGGGTTTGGATGGCCGAATGGTTAGCATGTGCGCGCTGTATCGTACGATCTGTCATTGAGTCAACTGGCGCGGTTTCGATTCACCAGTTGTATGTGACAAGGAGTAGGGTCGCCAGTCCAACCTCGTGGGTTTTCTCTGGGTCCTCCGGTTTCCTCCCACTGCTAAAGACCCCTACGCACAAGCAAATTATTGAAATAAAATTGAACCATGCGTTAGTCCCGAAATGACCTAGTTTGTGTCAAGTGGACGTTAAACCCTATTTCTCTCTCCCTCTGAAAAGTAAGATGTGAAACCCAATTTGATTTCATGTCTTTTATTTTATATTTGTAGCAAGATGTTTTTGAAGGAAAGAGAAAACGAGAATTAAAGAAATTAAAAAAGATGAAGGGTGAGGGTGATGTGGATGATATTTTACAAGAAGAAATATCTGCCATTCCCAAACCTCAATTGATCAATCTTTGGCCAGTACTTCTTGTTAAATTTTTATATAATTTTATTTTAACGTCACCTCAACGAATTGTTTCTATTGGACGTTATTTACGTGAGAAATATGAAGAACGTCAACAGGTGGTTGAAGAGGAAGAAGATAGTGAAGATGACAGCAATGAAGGTTTGTAGATCTATAAAAGTGCATGGGATTGAATGTCGTTTAATACAGTAAGAAATTTAGCAGACAGCTGAGTTTCCATCTAATTTTTTATATACCCACATTTTCATGTGGATGCATTATGCCGTCGCCCCTGTCCGTCCCGACCTACGTCCACAATTTGTTTGTGGGCACTCTACAGGTCACTATTTTTATTCGATTTTGATGAAAATTGAAATATAGGTCTATCTCCCAATGATCTTGGTTCATTTCGATATTGTATCGGACCATAACTTCATGGATTATGACCCCCTGATTGTACGATAAATCACGTTTTTAGCTTGTGGACACTCTAGAATTTACAATTCTTATCTGATTTCGATGAAACTTGAAATGCATGTTTATAACTCAAAGAACTTGGTTCATTTCGATATTCGCTCATATCGGATCGTAACTTCCTGAATTATGGCCCCTGATTGTACGAAAAATCGTGTTTTTAGCTTTATGGCCCTCTAGAGGTCACACTATTTATTTGATTCTCAAAATGTATCACCGTTAAATGGTTGAGTTCGAATTTCATGAAAATCGACCGAAACTGCCTGACAAAATGGTTGTTCCTTGTATGCAAATATTATAATAGTATGTATTTATATACCACGGTTGTGGACGCTCTAGAAGTCACAATTTATATCAGATTTTGATGAAACTTAATTAAAATATATGTTTGTGTCTTAAAGATCTTGTTTTCTTTCACTATTTGCGCATATCAGACGGTAACGTCCTGGATTATGACCTCTGATTGTATGAAAAATTGCTTCTTTATTTGAGCTTGTTCTCTGTCCATCTCTTGCCAAATGTGGGCGTATCTTGTATGGCAACCAACGGAAGTAAAGAGCTAACTATCGCCATGAAAGCCAATATTTGATTGGCTGAATGTAAACAGTTTATCATGTTCTAGCAAATCCAAAGTCTTGTATGAAATGTTCTATATTGCTTCCAGTGCGGCTTCCACTGCCATGAACTTAAAATAGAACGAAATAAGAGGAAATATAAAAACCTACGGAGACTACTTACAGTAGAGGTGTGTAAATATCACGTGAAACACGGAAATTGATGATGTAGTGTACAAACTACGAAATAGAATAATCTAATTATTCTCATGTCGAGGGAAATTTTCTGCGTGTAAGTTATGCAGCGTCCGTCAATATTTGTGTTTATTTTGAAAAAAATGTGTGAAAAACACAGATTTTTGCATGACTGCAACCTCTGATGGCAACCGCTTGGTCATATTGCAACTGCCATGGGTTCTTTATGTATATACATGGATGGACATTGGCTTTTCTTTGTTCCTGAATAACCACCAGTGAAAAGTAAAACTACATGTACGTTATCTATGTCTGTGAATGCTATCTATGTTATTAAGGGTATAATAATGATTGTCTTGTAGGTTATGAAAGAAGACCGCGTAAGAAACCTGAACTACCAGAATATAACCCTGATCTTTATTCTAACAGTCCAGCTGTATCGTATACACCGGTTGTTTCATCACAAGATACAGATGATACACAAACAAAACTAGTTAAAGTAAGTCTTTCTAAAATCACAGTTGATTCATATTATAGCATTGATTAATAACATTGATTTGATAGAGTAATATTACTTATCATAGTGTAGTTATATTAATAGTAACAAGTAATATTACACAACATAGTGTAGTTGTATTAATCGTAACAAGTAATATTACACAACATAGTGTAGTTATATTAGTAGTAACCTGTCATGAGATAGAACAAGTAATATTATTTATCATAGTGTAGTTATATTAATAGTAACAAGTCATGAGATAGAACAAGTAATATTATTTATCATAGTGTAGATAGAACATTTTGGTCTGGTAGCTTCTTTGTTTTCCCTGCTGGTAAGACATGGGTCTAAAACAAAGGCGATTAATAATTGCTGATATCTGGTTTTATTTGTAGAAAAGTGGTTGGTGTGAGGAAGATACAATTTTATTGGCCAAATTAGTAAATAAATTTCCTGGTGGAACACCTCAACGATGGGAGAAAATAGCTGATATGATGGGACGACCTGTTGAACAAGTAAGTATGGTGGAATTTGATAGTTTAATAGAAATAACACCTTATTTAAGTTTCTTCTCAACTACTCATATTGATTCATGTATAAACAAGTCAACCACTTCTGGTTTTTTATACACGCATGGAAGAGTTGTTTTTCAACTATTTGCAGTTTAATTTCAATGTTATGATTTTAAATTTTGAATTGCACTTCATCAAATAAATACACTTTCCTCTATCTGAGATAGGAGGCGGTTGTAGTCAAGCAATCAGGCCTTTATCTGAGATAGGAGGCTGTGGTAGTCAAGCGATCAGGTCTTTATCTGATATAGGAAACTGTGGTAGTCAAGTGATCAGGCCTTTTTCTGAGATAGGAGGCTGTGGTAGTCAAGCGATCATGCCTTTATCTGAGATAGGAGGCTGTGGTAGTCAAGCGATCATGCCTTTATCTGAGATAGGAGGCTGTGGTAGTCAAGTGATCAGGCCTTTATCTGAGATAGGAGGCTGTGGTAGTCAAGCGATCAGGCCTTTATCTGAGATAATAGGCTATGGTAGTCAAGCAATCAGGGTGCTAGACTCTACATGTATACTAGAATTTTCTGGGTTCAATTCCCACTGTGGACAGAGACGAGCTAAGTTTCTACAACACAAGTAAAGTGTTGCCTAGTCAATCAGATGGGACATAAAACTGTTATCTTAGTCTTATTCTGTCTAACATAAACTTCTACAGCTACAGAGGTCTGCATGCTAAAAATCACACTCTTAGTTTAAATTTGTTCATATTCATTTTTATTTTACCTCCAGGTCACAGCCCGATCAAAGAAAGCTAAAGAAGTTTACGTCGCTAATCTGACATCTGTCAATAAAGTGGATAACGTGAAATTAAAGGGGGGTAATATAAGCAAAAAGGGAGGTGGGATAAGTGACAATATAATTACTAAAGGGGAGATAATTCAGCCCCAGGAAACAAACACTACAACAAATCAAGAAAATATTGAATCTTTAGAAATTAATTCCAAAAAGGATTTAGAGGAAAAGAAACGTCGGAAAAATGTAAACGAAGAAAAAGTTGCCGAGAGGACTAAAATTATAACGGAATATAAAACAGCAAATAAATCTAATGAAAGTGAAAGTAGCAATATTAACCAATCAGACAATAGTAAAAGTAGTAAAGTAACTATTAGCGAATCAGATACATGGACACAAAATCAACAGATGATATTAGAATGGGCGTTAAGACAATATCCGAAAGGTACAGATTTACGATGGGAAAAAGTAGCAGAACATATTCCTGGTAAAATGAAGGTAAATATTAATTTCCTTTTATACATTAACATTCAGAGAGAGAGAGGTGGGGTTTAACGTCCACTCGTCAGTTCGGGACTAACATATGATTCAACTTTAGTTCAATAGTTCCCTTGCGCGTAGAGGTCTGTAACAGTGGGAGGAAACCGAAAGACCCGGAGAAGACCCACGAGGTTGAACAGGCGATCCTACTCCTTGTCATGTGCAACCGGGGATTCGAAACCACGCCAGTTGACTCAATGACAGGTCTTATGATACAGCTCGCACGTGCTAACCATTCGGCCATCCACCCCCCACCCCCCTCACATTGACTGACATTTTAAACAAAAACAATGGTAATAAGCGATTCACTTGTTTCATTCCCTCGAAAGGTTTCTTGAATCGTGTAAAGATATGATGTTTGATCATGTGCTACAACCACAACTGGCAGAACTTTGACAGATCTCAATTCTGTGACACTTGATTGCAATTTCATCAATTCAGAATGAAAGTCGAGCAGTGCTCTTAAGTTGGGATAAATTTTGCATCCATAAGCTTTTTATCTCTCACAAGGTGATCTAGTTCCTTCCTGGTGTTATCGAAGAAAGTTGCCCAGGTTTTATGGCCTGGTTTCCTCATTGTCCAGAGTCTAGACTCCTATACTTTGTACTCAAATCTTGCCTAATTATAAACAATGACTTTATACCTGTGTTTATACGGCTGTCATATTGATGTTGTTTATTTCAGGATGATTGTATTTTAAGATTTAAATATTTAGCTGACATGGTGAAGAAACGCAAGGTGACCAGCTGATCTATCAAAACAACATATCTCACTTGATAACAATATCAAATTAAAACAACTAGGGTACAATTTTATTATTTATCTTCAATTACATACATTTGATGGGAAGCCCCAGTCAATGTTTGATTAAACATACATTATGCCTATTGCAGATCTTTCTTTATTGCAGGTGGTTCTAGTGGATCAATTTGACTGAAATTTTCAGCAAATTCCCTTTACATTATGTAGTTTTTAGCTATTATAGTGAGAACTGCCAGATCTTTATCTAATCTCCCATAATGTATCTTTAAAGTATTAGAATATTGAAAGATTACGAAAATAGCAGCTAAGATACAACTCAGTATACCATATTACAAAAGTTGAATTGATGCAAGATATGAGTAAGAACTCATAACAAACAAGGGGGGGTTGGATGGCCGAATGGTTAGCATGTGCGCACTGTATCATACGGTCTGTCATTGAGTCAACTGGCGGGGTTTCGATTCCCCATTTGTACGTGACAAAGGAGTAGGGTCACCTGTCCAACCTCGTGGGTTTTCTCTGGGTCCTCAGATTTGCTCCCACTGCTAATTGGCTGTTGTTCCAATAGTACAAAAATAGATAATGAGAAATAAACATATATATATCAAATTTCAGTTAAATTACTTTATTTTGTGCAAAGTTATGAATTTTTGAAGTCTTGAAAAAATGTAGCCCACATTGTTTATTAATGACCGTATCTAAAGTACTTGACAATTGAGACTATAGTCTATTTATTAATGACCGTATAAGGTACTTGACAATTGAGACTATTGTCTATTTGTTAAAAACTTTAATGGCTGTTGTGTTCTAATCTACTTAAAATCGGAACAATCCGATAGTCGCGAGAGTTGAGAATGGGCTAGTCATGTTAATAAATGTCGAAATAATAATTTATATAACATTTGAAGCCTGAATAAAGACCTGCTGTAGGTAGAATTAGCTCTTACATATTTGCATCTACTGATCATTTCGGCTCAATACTTTAAGTTAAAATCTTTCAGACAAACTATTGCTATATTTCTTCATTTGCCTACTTTAAACCCACTTGTAACCCTCCTCCTTACCCGAAAAAATGATTTGCCCCACTCCTCCCCAGGGATCCCCAAACCCCCTAAACCCAAGAGGAGGGAAATCTACGAGCCCTCACCCCTTATTTTGTCACTGGGGCCCGGCTGCCTCATGGCCCGGCAACCTTAAGATCCATCACTGTGGAAAACCTCGGACCACCCACCCACCCCAATAAAAAGTTCACTGCCCCGGAGGGCCATAAAGTTGTAACAATGGGTACCTTACGAAGGCTGGGACTCGTTTAAATAAAATATTATATTTATGTCCATATTATATTTATTGTAATGAAAATTGATATAAAATAAAAAAAACTTTATTACAACTGTCTTGAGTTTTGTCACATTCTATCTTCAAGCTGACTTCAGGCTGGTACTCCTGGTTTCCTCCCACTGCTAATGGCCCCTACTTTCAAGCGAATTATTGATATAAAATTGTACCATGTGTTAGAACCCGAGCTAGTTTTTGTTAAGTGATTTTAACATTGTAGGCAATGGTTATAAGAACTGTGGTGCTCATGACATGGGTTATCTTCCTGATGACTTGCTCGATAACCAGGACCGTCTTAACGCATTGCGCACACTGGACAGTCCTCGGGTCCCTAAATGTATGTTTCAACTTGCTGTACAGTTTAAGCACTGATTTTGTTAGAAGTACCAATACGATACATAAATGTTTTTAATTAAAATTCCATCTATCATTTACATATTTATTCTCGTGAGTGGTTGTGTAGGGGTAGACTAATCACCGGAATTTACTTAAAAACACAGAAAATCACTGGAATTCACCAGAATTCACTTTGAAGATATCAGAATTGGCCCGCAGGATCATCATATTTACTTATATTTTGCATTAATATTGAATTAGTTAAAAAAAACGAAAATCCCCGGAATTCGCCGGTAATTTCCTGTCTGATTTGAGACAATCAACAAACAGCCCATGTCAACAAACAGGTTGAACATAAATCTGAACTGCATATCCACTGCAGATTTATTATTAAAATAACTACTGGAGCACCCAAGTTTACATTTGTCTTTCATTCTATGAATATATAATATAGTGTAATAGAACGTGATGTAGTATGGTATAATACAGTGTAATAGAACATGATGTAGTATGGTACAATACAGTGTAATAGAACGTGATTTAGTATGGTATAATACAGTGTAATAGAACGTGATGTAGTATGGTACAATACAGTGTAATAGAACGTGATGTAGTATGGTATAATACAATGTAATAGAACGTGATGTAGTATGATATAATACAGTGTAATAGAACGTGATGTAGTATGGTACAATACAGTGTAATAGAACGTGATTTAGTATGGTATAATACAGTGTAATAGAACGTGATTTAGTATGGTATAATACAGTGTAATAGAACGTGATTTAGTATGGTATAATACAGTGTAATAGAACGTGATGTAGTATGGTATAATAGAACGTGATGTAGTATGGTACAATACAGTGTAATAGAACGTGATGTAGTATGGTATAATACAGTGTAATAGAACGTGATGTAGTATGGTATAATACAGTGTAATAGAACATGACACCCAAGGGTTTAATATAGGTGGTTAGTATCAAATAGATTAATTATATAAATGACCAGAAATTTAAATAGGTGGGCAACACTTGCATACTACAGGTTAATTTTGAGCTGTATTTTATAACCTCCTATTCTAGTACTCACATTCTACTTGACAGGGGAGGCTTCCTTTATCTGTCTATAATTTATTTTACTGGTTCATAGGAAATATTTTAAATTAACCTCTCCAACAACATAATCATCATCAACTCTCTTACCAGTAGTCTGTCCAAAAATTTCAAGAAGAACTTGTACGACTTATTTCAAGCCCCCGATCTGCCATCAGAATCTAATTATCAAGACCAGCCCTAAAAATATCTGTGCTCTGGCCCATCCAGAAATTTTAAAAGACCTTATTAAACATTCAAATACAATTATGTTTTTCTGGGTAAAAGGTAACAAAATGAACAATGCACAATTATTTGTAATTTTAATTTGTTTTTAAACCATGGGTTCCAGGTGTCAAGACCAAGGTCTACCTTTCCTCTGTTCAACAATGTTCTGCTCATGAAAAGAACATTATATCATTAACTGTGTATATACACAAAGCCAATAATTTCATTTTAATAATTGAATTAATTTCACTGATAAAGATAGAGTGCTCAGCAATGAAACATACACCCACAGCAGCTAAGTCGTCAGATAAAGGTTGTTGCAAATTTTTTTTTTTTGTAGGTAAATGATAATTTTAGCTGATCAAATTATCGGAAATCGTTGAAAATTTACATATTTCTGTGTCTCATTAACATAAACACTGTATATAAATTTCAAATCAATTTGAGGAAAGTGTTAGACCTTAGAGCCATCGACAAGATTGTTGAGGTTGATACAGTTACCAGTCAATATGCTTCTTGTCTCATGGACCTCCTGGACCATATACCCAGCATAAATTTCAACTATAACCCCTAGAGTGATGGCCGGACAGGTGTGACGACTATATACAACTACATTTCAAACTGGGCATGAGGTCACCTCAGTAACTGCTGATATTGTATCCCCGAAATATAAAGCAATATAATTTTTAAAATGTGTGTGTTTGAGTTAAGATATTGGAAATGTTGTGTGGATTTTTACAGGATTTTACTAGTAAAATGAAGTCAGCCAATGCTTGTTGTAATCCTTAATAACCAGATACATGACACTTTTCCATCCAAAACTTCAAAAGGATATGTTTGTTTGTATAAACTATCTGAAGCATTTTCCAAACAAAACGAATGTAAATAAATTAATTTAGCATTCTAAAATGCAACATAAAGGAGTAATCAAGAAATGTTGGAGATCTAAATGACATGAATATGAATGAATGATTAAAAGCTTACTTCAGCAATAATAATGACCAAAAATCGGTTTGTACATCATATAAATTGTTATATTTATCAAACAACCTATTGTAGGTATGTATTCATGTGTACATATGTTATCCTTACAAACCCATTACTCCTCTCTCCGTTTCTACTTCAACAAGATGTCAGTAAACTTAATTCAGTTTGATAAGTTAGTAGCAACCACAGAAGATTTTACTGGCATGTTTGTGAAACTGTCATATGTAGACGAATTATATACTAAAATTATATACGTCGTCGACACTATTACAAACAATATGCATGTAGAGATCAGAATAGTTCCATGTTTTATAAACAATATAAAAAACCATCCTGTTTTTCTAGTAAAGATACGCAACTGCTGGTTTTCCCCACAAATACGACACAATGGGTGATAATTTCCAATTTCAATGCAAGACACAAACTTTTTACATTTTTCAATTTTAATGTTACACAGCAACACATTTGATAATTACAGTTTAAAACTTGCATTATTACGTACATTAATATAGGTCAAACTTATAGAAAATATACTGGCTCATAATTTTTGTCCTTTAATTATGCATTTCATCAAACTTATGGACATATTTGTAGTATTTTTTTCATAACTATAAGAAAATGCATATGAAATAATATCAGATTTCCATAACAAGATGACTTTTAAAAAATAATTATCATTTATAACAAATTCTTACAATATTTGTGTAAGCTATTGCCCTGGAAATTTTTAACCTTAAAAAAGATATATAATAAGTAGGCCTAATGGATTTTCAGTATTTAATTTGACTTCTCAGAAAAAAAACCTTTTAGAAATACATAATGCTCTTAAATTGTAGTTTTGTACAGATCTGCTTGTCACATGTAATCAAATGTTTGAAAATATATAATTATACGTTATATAAGCAATCGGTCATTGCAATTAGAAAATATACATATAACAACTAGATAAAAAGTAACTTTGTTAACACTTTGTGAAATGAGTTCAACTTATGCCCCCATCAGACCGGGTTGGCATCCTTACTGCGCTGCTGCGACCGTACGGCGACCAGAAAATGCACAAGGTCGCCGGCAAACGTGAACACAACGCGTGAAAATGTCCCATAAAATTACAAACTTGAAAAAAGTCGCTTTCTCACAGCTTTCCAGGTCAGATCACAGAACCTTGGCGTTTGTTTTGAACATGCTCAAAATAAACGCCATGACTCGGCGATCATTGGCGACCACGGAGACCACAGCACGATTTCTGGAGTTTCCTCCAAGCTTTTACCACGCTTATGGCGATCTTGATACCCTCTGCTGAGACCATTTTCCGTCGCCGTAGCAGCGTAGTAAGGACGCCACCCCGGTCTGACGGGGGTATTAGGCAGCACCTTCTTTTCTTACACTATCCAGTAATGTATTTAGCTCTTCCCGTTGTTTGGACTTAGCAAAATTTAACGCCCATTTTACCCATTTTTCACGATACTCAATAACCCCCTTCATGTCTTCAGCTTCACTTATTTGTGTCAATTTTAACAACATTTTGGCAGTATCAAAAGTGAAGGGAAAAGGCACCTGTTTCAAAGTAAAATGAAAGAATTGTACCACTGATCCCTTATATAATAAAGATATTTTTAGAGTTATGGATATTGTTTCTATTGACAATTGCAATAAAACTTCAAAACAAGACCATTTCAAGTTATACTAGAGCAGCGATGGGATTTCAAATTTTTCTTTGTCGGACATTTTACCAAAAATAAACGGGCATAACTCTTATCGTTATTTAAGCAGAAGAATTCATACCACAATTAAAAATCACATGTCGACAAAAGATCAAATTTGGGTTTGCTTATCAATATGTGCAACAGTATTCAAATTTGAACAACATGTATTTTCCATACTCTGTATTAGAGAAAAAAAACTTCCATGGGAACTGTCTGGTCTTTTGAGTTCATGTGTGACAAAATCTTGTTCCTATAAATATAATGTGAGAGGAATCCAAAACCATTTGAATAACATAAACTGAGATGGGATCCCAGTCATAATAAACTCGATACCGTGTCATCAGTGGTAGGAGTGGTTAAAAACAAAGTCATGACTGTTTTTAAAATCTTGTTCCACACGTAGTACAGATATGGTAAGTTAAAACATAAAGTATTTTTGATCTACAGACATACTATACCATTCATCTGGTATTAATATATATATATATATATATATCTTGCTGGGATTTATCACAAATGTAAAGAAGTGATTAATCTTCCAATATCACCTAGAATATATAGACATCAATACAAGCACAAATTTCCAATGTGAACATATTGATTTATGTGTCCTTTCATGCCAAGATTTGCACTGGAATATTGAAGCTCGAATTCTGACGGTTGTACGTGACAAGGAGTAGGGTCGCCTGTCCGGTGTCCTCCCACTCCTA